ACCTTTGATCCATTTCCTTAAGTTAACCCGGTCGACTCAGTTCTAGACTTTCACCTTCGATCCTTTATCTTGACCATAACTGTTTATCAACTCCTTATCTATTACCATCCGAACCTTTACCATTATTGACACCGTCATTGGAAATTAATTTGGTCCTTAACCATATTAGCATACCTTTTACCTTATATTTGTAATCATAATCATATCTGATCATAACCAGTAACCTTAACCTACGATCCTTCGCCATAAGAATCGCTTTTGAACTTAAACATTGTACTTTTCATCACCAGTCGTAACCTTTATTACGCTTAACTTCCGCCTCAAGGATAACAGTTTCATCGAGACAACATTTATCTTGAGAGTAATTTCTTTTCACGGTACTTTACCATCCGTTTTAACTATTTTTGCTCGCCAATTAACTGCACCAATTATAACCCTGTATTGACCAATCACTATACTATTATTAATAGACATAATAAAGCTTTTCATCGAAGGTCAATAGTTTACGAATCATTATCGCTACTAGAACTATCGAAATCTTTTGCTAAGGTCAACGCAAGTACCATCGCAACTACAGACAGTTTTAGGTTCCAGGCGAAACAAACGGTATCAAATTGATCTAAGCTTCAAAACTCGAATGTCCATAGGAAAACACTTAAGAGAGTTAACAGCGGTAGTAATCCAGATTCAAGGAGCCGTACAAGAAATAATTGATCTACTGATCTTGCATCACCTATCGATAACTGGACCAGAAGACTGGTTTCTGGAACTAATACTGGACGACGAATTAGCTGATCTGGAACTTAGTGATGAGGTTTAGTAATCAACAAATAGAGTTTATGCAACAACTTATATTTTCAGGTTTGACTTTCAACGAATTGATAAATTTATACATCATCACCCATGAGCGTTTAGATACAGGAGAAAACCCTATTCTACATGACGATACACCTTCCACCAGCCGAGATATTGTTTTAAATCTTTCTACACCGAACGAAGAGCAAAGGAAATCATCTTAATCAAATTTATCTCCTCACAATATTATTAGGAATGGTCTATTCTAACCTACATGCGCAAAATATTCAGGCGCAAGACCATCAAGACCACGAACAACATCAACAGCAGCAAAACACGCAAAAATGTCAAGACCAACAACAACAACAACAAGACCAGCAACAAAAATGCCAGCAAGACCAACAAAACCAGCAACAACAGCAAGACCAACAACAACAGCAAGAACATCAACAACCAGACAACTTTTCAGGTGATCGTCCTCCATTAATAATTGAAGATACACGACGAAGAAAAAGTAAGAATGTTTTTAATCAGCACTCGTCATCATAGAAATATGAATTTCAAGAACTAGTCATCCTAGGAAAAACGTTTATATACATTTTTCCCCTATGAGTTTCCCATTGTTAAGAGAGCGATTAGGTTAAAATTTGCATGCGCTTGAAATCAATTATTAAAATGAAGTAAGGATCATCTCATGATAGTTGTAAATGAATTTCAAGAACTTATCATCCTAGGAAAAACTTTTATTGACATTTTCTTCTTCTTCATTATTTTGCACATATTTTCGTATTTCATATTTTTTTCACATTCACTTTAATGTATAGATAATCAAGCATCACAAAATAAGAGACTCAGACGTAGTGGTATTCAATACTCACCCAGGAAAGATATAAATAATTCCAGTTTGAGCACTTCATCAGCATCAACACCAGCAACAACATCAGCAACAACATCAGCAACAACATCAGCAACAACATCAGCAACAACATCAGCAACAACATCAGCAACTATGGCAAAGCAGCGATAAATATATCTGATGTTGTAGATATGAGCCAGGAAGATTTTTATAATCTTCCGACAAAAAGTTGGAAAACAGTTGATCAGGAGAAAGTACTATCATATGCTAAGGCAGGAGAATTTAATACGGATTCCATCAAAGAAAATCCGTACATACTAAAATGCCTCTATTGTGATCAATTTAAAAGGAGCGGTCAAGGAATGCGTACGCATGTTCGAGGTAACTCAGATGCTGCAACCTTTTACAAAAGTATTTGTCAAATAAGAAGAGAGGAAGATGAACTTCGATCCAACAATTGCCATGTCATACCTAAAAAAGATCCATGGGCAATAATTTGTATTTTGGATAGAAAATACAAATTCACTGATCCAATTCCAAAGAAAATGGTGGACTTTTACAACTATGGAGGGACTGAGGCTCATCCTATTACCGATCCAGCTTTAATTGGCCCAAATTTGTAATAACACATTTATAATTAATCTGATTTTCTCTCTAACCTCTACAATAGTATAATCTCTCATATAAATCACTTTCAATCTTTGATAACCATTCTTAAATTTTATTCAATGAACTTTATAACAGTTTTTATCTAATAAATAATTTGCAACATTATTTCAACCTATTTCTTAACCATCCCTTAGCTACAGAAACTTTTCATTCAAATTCGTTTTATCTTCAAATTGACAAATCACCTAAAAGCATCACGATTTGTTTAGTTGTTACTCTTTTAATCTAGATAGAATCTTCCTTGAAATACATGTTACTTATGTTCTCAATCTTTAACCCACAAGGCATTTAATTTGATTCAATGCAACATTTTCAAGATATGACTATGAAATTTATCAATACAAAACAATATGAAAAGAAGAACAAAAAAGTATCACATCTTCGAAGGTTTGGTGTCAATATCAGTTCAAATAACGGAGAGCCGTGAATTTGAGTGAAATAAGCAGCGGTTTTGCAAATTGACATAAATCGTGGTACACCGTCAATGATTTTGAATTATGTGTTCAAACTTGGACCATGGAATAATTTTTTGTTCTTCTTTTCAAAAAAACCTTCAAATGACCTCTAGATAGGTTTATCGTGAAATGACCTCAATGACCTTGGAACTTTTTATGCGAAGTCCTTCAGTCCCGATATGTATCTGTACGAGGTTTGATCTTTTTAAACTCATTGGTTCTTGACTTATAACTAAAAATCTGCGTAAAATGAAGTTGAATAGCCCTGTACAATCTTTTTCCTTTTCACGAAATAATCAAATGTCTTTTTCATGAATTATTCTCATCACGTACCTTCAATAAAAAAACATATAAAAGAAGAAATTGAATTTAATAAAAATCATATCGAAAAGTTTCATCCATCATGATCTGTGAAATGGAAATTATGTTCTTTCCACGAATGAATAATGTAAGTATCAAATAATCAACCCAACGTACATTTTACTAATAATTTTTCATCTTTTTTCTTTTTTCTTATCATAGGAATTTCCAGATTTGGCCAAGGAATGGCGACTTGATGACAAGCTGTTCTGGAGCTGGTTTTTTATGCTCAACAGCATGGTGGACGAATGGCAAACCCAAGCTGGTACGGATTTTTTAGACTATTATATGTCCAAATTTATTCGTAAAAAGCTGATCGAAATCGAGATTCAAACGAATGGCAAAACCGCATGGAATAACATATGGTTAACCGCCAAGGTTAAAAGCTTAGAAGCGGCTCTGGTAAGACTCTAGAACACCACCGTTCGCAAATCGTCTTGAAACTTTTTCAGTGTATAGCCCCCAACATATTATTCTCAAGGTCAAACTTACTAGTCAAGGTCATCGATGGAGTTTCAAATTTTTAACCTGTGAACAGCAATTTGCTTGAAATTCAAATAAAATTATAAGAAATCAATATCTCAGGCTATGTCATGCGTACTGTGTGTATTACTTGGTACATGATATGCTTATAGGGATAAATATTTAGAACTTTGGTTCACATTCCATCAAGTGCAAGCTAGAAGTTATCAAGATTGCACTGAAACTTGCCGAAGTCTTTGAATGTGACTACCAACAACTAACCAGACCTTATTTTGGGAAGTATCCGTCTTGTTTTTCTGAACAAAGTAGTTTCTGAACAAAGTTCAAACTAATAGTTGTACATACAAACAGCCAATTTCATTTGACTATTAATCTCAGCATATCCTTATTGACCCTACGATCATGCAGCGCATTACATATATTATTCAACTCATATTTCCATCGAATGTATACATTCAGAAGTCCATGCATAGTTAAAAGTCAATACGTTACCATTATCATGAAATATCCAACATAAACAAGCCTAAAAACAAAAATATAGTGATAACCTTGAAATGACCTTGACTAGTAAGTTTGACCTTGAGAATAATATGTACTAAATTTTGAGTGTGCCTGACTCACGGTTCAATAGTAATCTAAGAAAACAGTGAAAATACAATTTTCATCCAATTTTATCTGCACAACCAAGTCACTCAGAACCTTGAATTTTCACACATAACATCATCATACCCATATGTATACATGCTATCAAAAACATTGTTCTAGAAATTTTTTGACATGCTGTAGAAAACTTTTATTTTCTCCATAGACTCCTATGTAAAAATGTATTTTTGATTATCTGTATCTTCTGAACCAAAAGTTTCCGCAGAAATTCCATCCATATGCATGACCTATATGTTAAGGGCTATACACTGAAAAAGTTTCAAGACGATTTGCGAACGGTGGTGTTCTAGAATATAGCCTAATTTTAATTTAATTAAGCGAATGGAATGAATTCGAATATCGGATCTTAATAGATTAGAGCAGAATTTTTTCAACCAATTGATTTACCTTCGTGAAGAATATAAGCTGCTCGAATGATGAGTTTTCGCAATGATCAATTCGTACAGGAAAAATTGGGATTTAAAATGAACTTTCACCTCGAAACATGATAGATGCTCAATGATTGAGCCTCAATCTAAGAATGGGCAAGAGTCAAAAACATAGAAAAATAAAAGAAAATAACTTTAAAAATTTCAAGTTAAAATTTCGATCTTATCCTGTGACAATCGGATCAACTCTTCGAATCCATTGAAATGGTTCGAATCATGCAGAGACACTCGTTTGGTAGATTTTTTATTGACTAAATTCACTTTAAATGAATTTAAAGAGACAACTCAAAATTGAAAATTGAAATCGGTTCCCTCTTAAACCAGCTGATAGTTTATTGTGATTCCGTTGACAAGCAGGCATAACTTTAATGTCGCTCGTGTTGATTAAAATTAATAGAAAGAAATGTTGACATGTTTATCGTTTATGAAATGGATGCTGCTTATTGCTAGTGATTGAAATTTGGATGGCTTTCTGGTTCGGTCATTCGTTTGTTGAAGCGGACGGGTAATCAGCTTAAACTGACCTGTTTTGGTGTCTGGTGATTTTGATCAACAATGGTATTTGTAACTACGAGTGAGATGAAGGTTTGCTACATCAAAGTTTGTTTCGATTTTCATTCATCAATGAGATCTGGAAGACAACTGAATTTTTTGTAGAAACAATGTTTCATGAAATCAAATCCATAGCAAATTGGTCCACAATAATAATAAACCAATTTAGGCCATTCGACGGGTTCGTTTTCACAATCGTAATATATTGCGATTGATCGATTCTCTTTGACACAATATTTGAACAGAAGATCAGCTGATTTTTGCGTCTCTTTCTTAAATCCTCTCAAGTCCAATATCTTCAACTTTCGTAATAACTTTATCAATTCTTCTAAATTACTATCATCAAGCTGATCAATATTTCTCATCGCTAAATGATGTAAATTAGGGAATTTAGACAGCACTCTTTTAAGTATTGGCCACGAAAAACTACCAGACTCAACCTAAAGATAAAAAATTAATGGCGTTCTTAAAAACATTTATCACTCGATGATTGACTTACGTTATCGATAACCAAATCTCTTAGATTGTAATTTTTTATCGATTCATCTACATGAATATCATATGCCCAACAACTGATGAAAGCACTTTCCAAAGATGGACAAAAATCCATGAAATGAAATCCGGTGAATTTTCCAACAAAACCATTTGAACCAAGTTCAAGGATCTTTAACGAAGACAAACTCGGTCCATTGTAAAGAACGTTACAAAAGTTGTAAAAAGCTTGATCCGCTATAATAAATCGTAAAAAGATATTAATCATACATGTAATAAGAAGATTAATTCAAGTTGAATCTCACCTTTATCAAATTCTATGTTAAGTCGCTTCAAATTCGGAAAATATCCAATGAATGAAGGAAGATACTTCATATTAAAATCGAAACAGCGAATTTGTTTCAACTGATTAGGGCGAAAAACTCTTTTATAATCAAAATCAAACTTTCCAACGCACATTTCGATATTCTCCAAGTTATAATTATAGTCTCTTATAAAGCTAAAGAGTCCAATCAATCCTTTTACATTTGGATTGCTGATAATTTGGATGAAAATATCAGGTCGAATATAAATACAATAATAGGACGAAACCTCTATGATCTATTATAAAAGTAGAAAACAATTAGAGAGTAACACAATTTTGATTAGGAGATTCATTAATTACCTTGAGATTTGGAAAAAATTCGATTAAATTGTAATCCTTCCAATCTGTATCATGATTAATCCTTAAACTGTCCCCATCAATATAATCAACTTTACCTTTGAATTAAAAAAGTTGGAAATAAAACAATTAAAATCGTAAATGGATTAAGTTGAAATTAACTTACCAGCCACAAACCGAAGATATTTAACTCGCTTAAATCTCGGCGTAATTAAATCGGACCATCTCGAGCAAACTTTAGAATCAAGTGAAAGTAAATAAGATTTGAAATTTTATAATTTAAACGGAATCTTACCTTTGGACAATCGAATCAAATCTTTGGCCTCATGGACATTTCTCAAGATCTTCAAAAGACAATTATCAGGTAAATCGTTTAATGACATTATAGAGAATTATAATTGACTTATGATTGATTTGGAACTTATTGAAATTCACTACATTAATGATTAATCAGCAAAATTAGTTTCCCTCGTGAAGAGCAGCTGATTAACTATTGAGACAAAGCGCTTTTTACGAATGAATAGAAATCGAATATCGGATGGCAATTATTATTAATAGAGTGAGGCTCAAGACATCAATATAAGGAAATTATTAATAATTTAATTGCTCAATCAATTGTGTTTGTTGAATTAGGTGTCAAATGATCCTAGATTGTTGAATTGGCTGTTTAATCAATTAAATTATTTCCCCTAAAAGCCGCGCATTATTAACCAAATTTCGTTACACAATCATTTCGGAAACAAAACATTACCGATCATCTCTTAATAAAAGATTTTATTAATTGATATAATGAAATGTTGACATGGTTATCGTTTATAAACATGGATGCTTCTCATAGCTGATGATTGAAATTTGGATGGCTTTCTGGTTGATTCGAGTCAATCGATGGTTTGAGAGGACGGATAATCAGCTTAAACTGACCTATTTCAGTGTTGCGTGATTTTGATGAGAAACGACAAGAACGAAACAAAAAATGAAATATGTGCCTACGAGTGAAGTAAAAGTTTCCTGCATCAAAGTCAACTGCCAGATAATGAGACTCTCTTAAAATAACGTTTCTATTGTAACCAAGACAACCGAGCTGTGTTTTTAATTGTTTACTTTTGTTAATTAATCAGCTGATTAATTGTTAAGACAAAGCGCTGGACCGTAGTAAAAGGCAAAAAGAAGCAAAAAAGAGCTAAAAGACAAAAACACTTCAATTCTTTTTAGCCTTTTTTTGCCTCTTTTCGTCTTTTTGTCTTTTACCACGGCCTCAAAGCACTTTTTTTCGAATGGAAAAAAATCGAATATCGGATCTTAATTAATAGATTAAGCAGAATAGTCTAGGCCAATTGATTTACCTTCATGAAGAATATAAGTTGCTCGAATTAACAAAAATAATTAACGAAAGCGATCTAATCGTCCATAAAACTTGCGATAATATGAACTTTCGTTTTTCACATCGAAACTCATCAACTCGAATCACATGATGGATGCTCAATCGTATATTTTATTAATCAACTATAATGTCAAGAGTTTTAACAATCAATTTATATGCAATTCGAATATTTATTTTGTTGATTGTCTTTGGAAACTTGTAGTTTCAATTTGTATTTTTTCTTATGAATTCACAATCAGATTAATTAGAAATATTATTTATCTTCATCAAGCAAATATGGAAGTAAGTCCCAAGTTTCGTAGAAACAATGTTTCATGAAATCGAATCCGTAGACAATTAGTTCGCGATTAGTGTCCAATTTAGGCCATTCAGTGGGTTCGTTTATCAAGCTGTGATATAAAACAATTGATCGATTCTGCTTGACACAACATTTGGTTAGAAAATCAGCTGATTTGTGTGTCACGTTCTTACATTTCCGTAAGTCCAATATCTTCAACTCAGGTAATAATTTTATCAATTCTTCTAAATCAAAATTACTAACATCAAGCTTATCAAAATTTCTGATCGCTAGATGATGTAAGTTGGGAAATTTAGACAACAGTTTTTTAAGAAACGGCCACGAAAGTTTACTAGACTGAATGTAAAGAAAAGAAATAAATGATAATCTTATAAACATATCACTCGATGATTAACTTACATTGTCGATAGCCACGCAATAAAAACCTGCCTAAATCGAAAGAATAGAAGAAAAAATCAACATAAATCTTATAAACATTTATCATTTGATGATTTACTTACTTTCTCGATAACCAAATCTCTTAGATTGTAATTCTTTATCGATTCATCTACATAAATATCTCTTGCCCAACAACGGAAGAAAGCGCTTTCCAAAGATGGACAAAAATCCATGAAATGAAATCCAGTGAATTCTTGTTCAATGTAATCGCTTGTACAAAGTTCAAGAATCTTTAACGCAGACAAATTTGGTCCATTGTAAAAAACTCCGTCCGCTATAATAGATCGTAAAACGATATTAATCATCTGAAACAATCGCAAGATTAATTGAAGTAGAATCTTACCACCACAGAGTTTTAAGTGGAGTCGCTTCAAATTCGGAAAATATTCAATGAATGAAGGAAGATCATCCGTAAAAAAATAGTAGCAGCTAACTTGTTTCAAATGATCAGGTCGAAAAACTTTTTTATAATCGAAATTAAATTCTGCAACGAACATTTCGATATCTGACAAGTCATAATCTTCTCTTTTTAAATCAAAATAACCAATCAATCCCTTTATTTGTGGATTATTTTTGACAATTTCTGGTAAATTGTAAGATCCATGATAATCAAAGGCCGCAGTATCTATAATCTAACGTCAAATTAAAATAATTAGAAAGAAACATAATTTTGATTCGAAAAATTCATTAATTACCTTAATGTTAGAAAACAATTCGAATAAATTGTCATAATTCCATTTCGTATCAGGATTAATCCACAAACTGTTCACATCGATATAATCAACCGCATCACTTGCTATTAATAAAAAAATTAGAAACAAGTGTTAATAAAATGATAAATCGATCAATTAGAAATTAACTAACCATCCATCAAATGAAGATATTTTACTCTCTTAAATCTCGGCGTAATTAAATCAGACCATCTCGAACAAACTTTAGAATCAAGTGAAAGTAAATAAGCATTAGAATTTCTCTATCTTAACGGAATCTTAATCTTACCTTTAGACAGTTGAATCAATTCTTTGGCCTCATGGACATTTTCGAAGATCTTCAAAAGACAAATATCAGGTAAATCGCTTAATGACATAATTAAAAATCACAATTCACTTATGATTGATCTGTAAACTTAAGGAAATGCTTATAACTTATCACTTAAATTGAATAACATGAATGATTCATTAATCAGCAAAATTTTAAATTTTAAATTAGTTTCCCTCGTTAAAAACAGCTGTTTAACTATTGAGACAAAGCGCTTCTTTCGAATGAATAGAAATCGAATATCTGATCTTAATTAAATTAGATCATTTTCCTAAAAAGCTGCGAATCGTAAGCCGAAAAACGTCAGCTGGAAGTGGAAAAGTTGAGCTTACGGACATATCTTGAGCCTTACCCAGAATCTTTATGGTCAATTGATTCACCTTCATGCAGAATATAAGTTGCTCGAAATATTAACATGACGAGTTTTCGCAATGATCTATTCGTACAGCAAAAATTGGGATTAAAAATGAACTTATGGATAAATTAAACATAAGATTGGTTAGAAATTTGATTTATCTTCATCAAGCAAATCTGGAAGTGAGTTCCAAGTTTTAAAAATAATGTTTCATGAAATCGAATAATTAATATAATGAAATGTTGACATGATTATCGTTTATGATTGAAATTTGGATGTTTTTATTGGTTGATTCAGTCAGTTGATTGTTGAAGAGAACTGGTATTCAGCTTAAACTGATCTATTTCAGTGTTTGGTGATTTTGATCAACAATAAATACTGGACAAAAGATGAAGCATAACCTTGAGTGATATAAAAAATTGATTTTTCAAAGTTTGTTTCGGTTTTTATTCATCGATGAGGAATGGAAGAGAAGCGAGAGTTTTGTAGAAACAATGTTTCATGAAATCGAATCCGTGCACAATTGATTCTTGAGGAGTGTCTAATTTAGGCCATTCGACGGGTTCGTTTTCACAATCGTAATATATTGTGATTGATCGATTCACTTTGACACAATATTTGAACAGAAGACAATTGTCTGGTAAATCGTTTAATGACATGATTATGGTTCCACTAATTAACAGTTTAAAAACTTGAAGAAATATTGAAGCACTAATTTCATTTGAAGTGAGAAAAGTTTTCACAGAAAATTCACTTGAAAATCAGCTGATTAATTACTAAGAGCGAGGCTTTTGGATGGGACAAGGAGTCTTGAAGCGCGTTTTTCCTTCTTCATTTTTTTATGTGCCATATGCTTTTGTTGTCTCTTAATAATGATAAGTAACTCAGTTTGTTAAAATGAAATACAGAAAATAATTATAATACAATTTATTGTGATATGATAATTTTAATTACCATGCAGATATTTAATGATTAATCAACCTCATGATTTATTAGGGCTTTTTGATTCATTCAAGCAAGTCAATTATTTTTCATCAATGAGAATCGGAAGTGATTTCTAAGCAAACTATGTTTCATGAAATCGAATCTGTTGACAATTAATTCGTGAGGATTGTCCAATTTAGGCCATTCATTTGGTTCCTTTCACAATCAATAGATTTTAAATTTTGCGCTTCATTCTTGTTCTGACCAATCACATAAATTGTTTACCATTTTTTTTCAAATGTCTATAAAAAAATAAATGCTTACAATTTGAAAGAATTGTCCTTTTATCATATTGTTGTTTAATTTCTACTGGTGAGAAAATTGATTCTGGTGCTGTAGATCGAGGAGAGAAACGAACAACCAGCCGAGAAAAGGTACTAGACACCGAAATCGACAAAGAAACTAAAGTTCAACTTTCGAAAGTCAAAATGCTGGACCTTGAAGATGTTGTGGTCTCCCAAGGACGGTGTAAGTTACCAGAAGGTTCATTCAGAAAAACAAAAAAAGGTTATGAAGAGATTCATGTTCCATCTCTCAACCCAAAACCTTTCGGTGAAAATGAGGTGAGTAGATTATTCAACATTCTTAATCATTTATCTTCGTGCTTACCCCAAATATATTGAATCACAATATATTTGGTAATATTAAGAAGAAGATCAAAAGGTTTCGAATATTGAGATTTCAATCTTCATGTTGAGTTTTCTTAACTTTTAAATTAACATTTTTGTTTTCTCTCCTCTAGAATCTTATTCATATTGATCAATTACCTGCTTATGCCCAACCAGCTTTCACTGGATTTAAAACACTTAATCGAATTCAATCAAGAGTCTATTCCTCTGCCATGGAACGAGATGAGAACTTGTTGATTCGTGCTCCTTCTGGAGCTGGTAAAACAAATGTCGCTCTTTTGTGTATGTTAAGAGAGATTGGTAAACATGTGAATCCCGATGGAACTATTAACGTAGACGATTTCAAGTGTATCTATGTTGCACCCATGAGATCATTGGTACAAAAGATGGTTCGAAATTTCAGTGACCGGTTAAAATCTTATGGTATTAAAGTGGCCGAATTAACTGGAGATCATCAACTGAGTCGTGAACAAATTAATGAGACTCAGATAATTGTATGTACACCAGAAAAATGGGACATTATCACGAGAAAAGACGGTGAACGTAGTTTCACACAAATTGTTCGTCTTATTATTTTTGATGAAGTTCATTTACTACACGATGATCGAGGTCCAATTATTGAAACTTTGGTCGCCCGGGTGGTGAGAAATCAAGAGACCGCTCAAGATTCAATCAGAATTGTGGGCCTAAGTGCTACTCTTCCAAATTATGAGGATGTTGCTGAATTTCTAGGGGTCAATCGGAAGACTGGACTTCACTATTTCGACAACAGTTTCCGTCCTGTTCCACAGGAGCAACAGTTTATTGGTATCACTGAAATGAAGGCAATACAGAGATACCAATTAATGAACGAAATCCTTTATAAAAAGGTGGAAGAACAAGCGGGTAAAAATCAAGTTCTAATTTTTGTTCACTCGAGAAAAGAAACTGGTAAAACAGCTCGATCTTTGAAAGATATGTTTTATGACAATGATAAATTGCACATGTTTCTCAAAGAAGGATCATCTTCTGCGGAAATCTTACGAAAAGAAGCTGATGAAGTTAAAGATCTTGAACTGAAAGACCTCATGGGTTATGGTTTCGGCATCTATCATGCTGGTATGTCTAGAGTTGAACGTACCCTAGTCGAAGATTTATTCAGTGATCGTCATATTAAAGTTCTCGTATCAACAGCAACTCTTGCTTGGGGTGTCAATCTACCAGCTCACACTGTGATCATCAAAGGAACTCAAATTTACAATCCTCATAAAGAAAGATGGACTGAACTTGGAGCGCTTGATGTACTTCAGATGTTCGGTCGAGCCGGTCGACCTCAATATGATTGCATAGGAGAAGGTATTCTGATCACTCAACACAGTAAACTTCAATACTATTTGTCTCTTTTAAATCAACAACTACCAATTGAAAGTCAAATGGTTTCATAATTACTTGATCTACTCAACGCCGAGATCACTTGAGGTAACATTCAGAGTATCGAAGAAGCAAACAACATGAACTGGCTACTCTTAAAGCTCCGAGCAAAAGTATTGGGAAAAGTTTCTAAATTACATTTTTAATTGTTCTAAATTAACAATATTAGTGTAGAAATTGAATCTAAAAGGAATCGAAAGCTCACTATTTGATTATGTAGGCTAATTAATACTGATTCGATTGATGTGTTTTAAAAAAATTTAGCCTTGTTCATTCTTGAACGACTTTTGTTCAACTGATTCCCAATACTTTTGCTCGGAGCTTTATTTGAGCATACGAATGTTAAAAAATCCGTCTCTTTATGGTATCAGTGGGGGGTAAGACTCAAGATATGTCCGTCAGCTCGATATTTTAACTGATTTTTTTTGGCTTATAGTTCAAGCTGACGGACATATCTTGAGTCTTACCAAGACATCAATATAAGGAAATTAACTGATTGCTAGATTAATTGTGTTTGTCGAATAATCCTAGATTGTTGAATTGTTTGTTTAATTGGTTAAATTATTTTCCAAAAAGCCGCAAATTATTAACCGAATTTCGTAGCACAAACATTTTGGAAACGAAACATTACCGGTCATTTCTTAATTAAAGATTTTATTAATTAATGTAATGAAATGTTGACATGGTTATGAAATGGCTGATTCTTATTGCTGATGATTGAAATTTGGATGGCTTTCTGGTTGATTTAAGTCAATCGAAAGTTAAAGAAGACGGATAATCAGCTTAAACTGACCGGTGTTTCGGTGTTTCGGTGATTTTGATAAGAAGCACCAAGAACGGGACAAGAATGAAATTTGTGACCATGAGTGAGATGAAAGTTTGCTGCATCAAAGTTTGTTTCAACTTTTTATTCATCAATGAGATCTGGAAGATAACTGAATTCTTTGTAGAAACAATGTTTCATGAAATCGAATCCATAACAAATTGGTTCATGATCATCAACCAAATCAGGCCATTCGACGGGTTCGTATTCACAATCGTAATATATTGCGATTGATCTATTCTTTCTGAGACAATATTTGGTCAGAAAATCAGCTGATTTTTGCGTCACTTTCTTACATTTCCGTAAGTCAAATATCTCCAACTTAGGTAACAATTTTATCAATTCTTCTAAATCAAAATTACATACATCAAGCTTATCAAAATTTCTGATCGCTAAATGATGCAAGTTAGGAAATTTAGACAACAGTTTTTTAAGTAGTGGCCACGAAAAAACACCGAGACGAATCTAAAATAAAAAAATTCATGAAAATCTTGTGAACATTTATAAATCAATGATTGACTTACATCATCGGTACCCGCGTACCAAAACCTTCCCTAAATCGAAAGAATAGAGAAAAAAATCAACAAAAATCTCATAAACATTTATAACTCGATAATTGACTTACATTAACGATAACCAAATCTCTTAGATTGTAATTCTTTATCGATTCATCTATATAATTATCATATGCCCAATAACTGATAGAAGCGCTTTCCAAAGATGGACAAAAATCCATAAAATGAAATCCAGTGAATTGGTCAACCAAAAAAATTGTATTAAGTTCAAGGATCTTTAACGAAGACAAATTCGGTCCATTGTAAAAATACCCGTCCGCTATAATAGATCGTAAAAGAGTTAACCATTTAATTCAATAGGAAAATTAGTTCAAGTGGAATCTCACCTCCATCGAGTTGTAAGTTGAGTCGCTTCAAATTTGGAAAATATTCAATGAATGAAGGAAGATCTTTCATTGCAAAAAAGATACCGGAAACTTGTTTCAATTGATCAGGTCGAAAAACTTTTTTATAATCGAAATCAAACCTAAAATCTGCAGCGCACATTTCGATATTTTCCAAGTAACCGCATTTACTCAAGCTATGCATACCGATCAATCCCTTTATTTGTGGATTATTTTTGACAATTTTTGGTAAATTGAAAGCTTCATCAAGCGCAGTGTCTATAATCTAACGTCAAATTAAAAAACAATTAGAAAACAATATGATTGCGGTCAAATGCATAAATCACCTTTAAATTTGGAAAAAATTCGATTAAATTCCAATCATCATTACAATTTTTATCATGATTAATCCACAAACAATTCGCATCAATATAATCAACTTTATCTTCGGCTAAAAAAATTGGAAACAAGTATTAATAAAATAATGAACAGATCAATGCTAAATTAACTTACTACTATCAGTATCCATCGTTTGTAGATATTTTACTCGATTAAATCTCAGCGTAATTAAATCGGACCATCTCGAACAAACTTAAGAATCAAAAGTAAATAAGCATTAGAATTTCATCATCTAAACGGAATCTTAATCTTACCTTTAGATAATTGAATCAATTCTTTAACTCCATCAACATTTTCTAAGATCTTCCAAAGACAATTATCAGGTAAATCGTTTAATGACATGATAGAAAATTATAATTCACTTATGATTGATTTGGAACTTAATAAGTTAAACTTATCATTGAAATTGAAATTTTCAATTTGAAAACATTAACGATTAATCAGCAAAGTTAGTTTCCCTCGTGAAGAACAGCTGATTAATTGTCAAGACAAAGCGGTTTTTTCGAATGAAAAGAAATCGAATATTAATTATTTTCAATAAAGTAAGGCTTAAGAATTCAATATAAGGAAATTTACTTAGTGTTAGATCAATTGTGTTTGTTAAATTAGATGTCGAATAATCCTAGATTGTTGAATTGTTTGTTTAATTGGTTAAATTATTTTGCAAAAAGTCGCAAATCATTAACCGAATTTCGTAGCACAAACATTTTGGAAACAGGACATTACCGGTCATTTCTTTTTCACATAGAGGTCACAGCAAGCATTTCGATATTTTCAAAGTTATAATTTTTGCTATAATACTCAAGAGATCCAATTATTAACCCTTTTATTTATGGATTATTGTCAGTCATTTTTCGCAAATTACGAAACCAAATCTTGTAATGACGAGACCAGCACTCTATAATCTATCATGAGATTAAAAATCATCAGAAATGAACTTTATCTAAAGCACAGTTACCTGGATGTTCGGAAACAATTCTCTAAAAATCTGTTATTATGATTAATGACATGGTTATGATTTCACTAATTGGTTATTTAAAACTTGAAGAAATGTAACATTTCAAATGTTGAAGCACTAATTTCATTTGAAGTGAGAAAAGTTTACACAGAAAATTCACTTGAAAAACAGCTGATTAATTACTAAGAGCAAGACTTTGGATGAGACAAGGAGTCTTCAACAGTCAATTTTTTTTCATCAATGAGAATCGGAAGTGATTTCCGAGTAAACTATGTTTCATGAAATTGAATCCGTTGACAATTAATTCGTGATGATTGTCCAATTTAGGCCATTCATTTGGTTCCTTTCACAATCAATAGATTTTAAATTTTGCGCTTCATTCTTGTTCTGACCAATCACATGAATTGTTTACGAACCATTTTTGTTCAAATGTCTATAGAAAAGTAAATGCTTACAATTTGAAAGCATTGCCCTTTTATCATATTGTTGTTGTTTAATTTCGACTGATTTAATTAATTATTTTTCTTTTTGTATCTTATTTCATTTTGATCTATCGTCTATTATGACCACATCATAACTGTTGTTTGCCATTCTGTTGTTTCCAGTGAATAATCAATAGTAATCATGGCCGATGAGGCAGCTCGTATTCAACAATATGAATACAAAGCGGTAAGTTTTTCTTTCCTTTTCTTTTCTTTTTTATTTGATTTTAATGTTATTGTTTGTTAATGATTTTTTGTTTTCTTTTGACTTTTTGCTTATCAGAATTCTAATTTGGTTCTTCAAGCTGATACAAGGCTTAGTGAGAAAAGACCTAGAGATGAGGCTACTGGTGAAGTTAGCTCTCTTTCTGGTAAACTTGGAGGATCAAGAATGGGAGATAAATATCAAAGGTCTAAACCCTCTGTTATTAAGGAAGAAGAGGATAGAAAACGGAAGAAAAAGGCTAAATCTTCGATTTCTGATCTGGGCTCATCTTTTAGCTATAGTTCTTTAAGTATTGTCAGTGATCTTGAAGGAATGGGAATGTCATATACTCCCAAGACCCCAGAGACAAGGCAAACCTATGAGGCCTTGTTAAAGTTCATCCATGATATTTTAGGAGATCAACCTAGAGATGTATTGGGTGGTGCTGCTGATGAAGTATTGGCTTCTTTGAAAAGCGAAAAGACTGAGAAAGATAAACAGAAAGAAATTCGTGATTTACTTGGTGAACTCTCTTCAGAGCAGTTTAATATTTTATTTAATTTAAGCCGTAAAATTACGGACTACAAACTCGACGATGATCCATATAATGCCACTGAACAGGATTTAGATGCTACCATTGGTGTTAACGTTCAATTTGAAGAGAATGACGACGAAGAAGAAGAAGACATTGTAAGAGTTGTAGACGATGGTGAAGACGATGATGACAATGAAGGTGAAGAGGCAGGTGAAGGTGTAACTCTTCAAGCACACCTTGACACTTCTACTGGTAGGAAAAGTTCAGCTCCTGCCGTTAAACCGACTGAAGTATTACATCCAAGACAAATCGATGCTTATTGGCTTCAACGGAACCTAAACAAAACTTATAAAGATCCAGTTGAGGCCAAAAAGAAAGCAGCTGAGGTTATGGATATTTTAAAAACCGCTTCAGATGATCGAGATGCTGAAAATAAATTAGTTATGCTTTTAGGTTTTAAGTCGTTTGATTTCATCAAACTTCTTCGTCAAAATCGTCAAATGATTCTCTATTGTACTTTACTTGCTTCTTCTCAAAGTGCTGATGAAAAAGCGAGACTTCGATCACGAATGGCCTCTGATCCCGAATTGAAGCCTTACCTTTCCATGTTAGAAAGTACTGATGAGAAAATTGATTCTGGTGATGTAGATCGAGGAGAGACGAACAACCAGCCGAGAAAAGGTACTAGACACCGAAATCGACAAAGAAACTAAAGTTCAACTTTCGAAAGTCAAAATGCTGGACCTTGAAGATCTTGTGTTCGCCCAAGGATCTCATTTTATGGCTAATAAACGGTGTCAGTTACCAGAAGGTTCATTCAGAAAAACAGAAAAAGGTTGTGAAGAGATTCATGTTCCAGCTCTCAAGCCAAAACCTTTCGGTGAAAATGAGGTGAGTAGATTATTCAAAATTCTTAATCATTTATCTTCGTGCTTACCCCAAATATATTGAATCACAATATATTTGGTAATATTAAGAAGAAGATCAAAAGGTTTCGAATATTGAGATTTCAATCTTCATGTTGAGTTTTCGCAACTTTTAAATTAACATTTTTGTTTTCTCTCCTCTAGAATCTTATTGCTATTGATCAATTACCTGCTTATGCCCAACCAGCTTTCACTGGATTTAAAACACTTAATCGAATTCAATCAAGAGTCTACTCCTCTGCCATGAAACAAGATGAGAACTTGTTGATTTGTGCTCCTACTGGAGCTGGTAAAACAAATGTCGCTCTTTTATGCATGTTGAGAGAGATTGGTAAACATGTGAATCCCGATGGAACTATTAACGCAGACGATTTCAAGTGTATCTATGTTGCACCGATGAGATCATTGGTACAAGAGATGGTTCGAAATTTCAGTGACCGGTTAAAATCTTATGGTATTAAAGTGGCCGAATTAACTGGAGATCATCAACTGAGTCGTGAACAAATTAATGAAACTCAGATAATTGTATGTACACCAGAAAAGTGGGACATTATCACGAGAAAAGGCGGTGAACGTAGTTACACACAAATTGTTCGTCTTATTATTTTTGATGAAGTTCATTTACTACACGATGATCGAGGTCCAATTATTGAAACTTTGGTCGCCCGGGTGGTGAGAAATCAAGAGACCGCTCAAGATTCAATCAGAATTGTGGGCCTAAGTGCTACTCTTCCCAATTATGAGGATGTTGCTGAATTTCTAGGGGTCAATCGAAAGACTGGACTTCACTATTTCGACAACAGTTTCCGTCCTGTTCAACTTAAGCAACAGTTTATTGGTATCACTGAAAAGAAGGCAATAAAGAGATACCAATTAATGAACGAAATCCTTTATAAAAAGGTGGAAGAACAGGCGGGTAAAAATCAAGTTCTAATTTTTGTTCACTCGAGAAAAGAAACTGGTAAAACTGCTCGCTCTTTGAAAGATATGTTTTATGACAATGATAAATTGCACATGTTTCTCAAAGATGGTTCAGCTTCCGCGGAAATCTTACGAAAAGAAGCTGATGAAGTTAAAAATCTTGAACTGAAAGACCTCTTACATTATGGTTTCGGCATCCATCATGCTGGTATGTCTAGAGTTGAACGTACCCTAGTCGAAGATTTATTCAGTGATCGTCATATTCAAGTTCTCGTATCAACAGCAACTCTTGCTTGGGGTGTCAATTTACCAGCTCACACTGTGATCATCAAAGGAACTCAAATTTACAATCCCGATAAAGGAAGATGGACTGAACTTGGAGCCCTTGATGTACTTCAAATGCTCGGTCGAGCTGGTCGACCTCAATATGATAAAGAAGGAGAAGGTATTCTGATCACTCAACACAGTGAACTTCAATATTATTTGTCTCTTTTAAATCAACAACTACCAATTGAAAGTCAAATGGTTTCAAAATTACCTGATCTACTCAACGCCGAGATCACTTTAGGTAACATTCAGAGTATCAAAGAAGCAACTAAATGGCTTGGCTACTCTTATTTGTACATACGAATGTTAAAAAATCCATCTCTTTATGGTATCAGTGGGGATGATGTAAGTGAGGACCCAACTCTACAACGACATTTATCCAGTCTAGTATTTACCGCTGGATCTCTGCTTGATAAAAGTGGGTTAGTTAAATTTGATCGAAATCGTGGTTACTTCCAAGGAACTGAATTAGGTCGAATAGCAAGTCACTTCTACTGTACTCATCAAACGATGGCCACTTATAATCAACTATTAAAACCGACGCTCAGTGAGATTGAGCTCTTCCGGGTCTTCTCATTGTCTGGTGAATTTAGAAACATTACCATCAGAGAAGAGGAAAAACTCGAATTGCAGAAATTAATTGAAAGAGTTCCAATTCCAGTCAAAGAAAGTATCGAAGAGCCAAGTGCTAAAGTGAATGTCCTTCTTCAGGCTTATATTTCACAACTTCGACTTGAAGGACTTGCCCTAATGGCGGACATGGTTTATATCACTCAAAGTGCTGCGCGTCTAATGAGAGCCATTCATGAGATTGTCCTTCACCGCGGTTGGGCTCAACTGGCCGATAAAACTCTCTCTTTGTGTAAGATGATTGACAAACGAATGTGGCTCTCAATGTCACCTTTAAGACAGTTCAAGAAGATTCCTGACGATGCGATAAAAAAATTGGAGAAAAAGAACTTTCCATGGGAACGTTTTTATGACCTTGGGCCTAATGAAATTGGTGAATTGTTAAGAAGTGCAAAGATCGGGAAGCTTGTCCATCATCATGTTCATCGTTTCCCTAAACTAGACTTGACTGTTCATATTCAACCAATAACTCGAGCAACTTTAAAAGTAGAGTTAACAATTACTCCTAATTTCCAATGGGATGTTAAGTATCATGGTAAATCAGAAGGATTCTGGATTCTCATTGAAGATGTTGACCAAGAGATAATCTTACATCACGAGTTTTTCCTTTTAAAACAAAAGTTTGCCCAAGATGATCACATAGTCAAATTTTTCGTTCCTCTCACTGAACCATTACCACCTCATTATTTTATTCGAGTTGTTTCAGATCGTTGGTTAAACTCCGAAACAGTTTTTCCAATCTCCTTTAGACATACACTTCTTCCAGAGAAATACTTACCACCAACAGCTTTACTTGACCTTCAACCCAAGAAAGTTTCCGAAGCTTTCGACAAATTTCCTGCATACAAATCGTTGTACAAAGATGAGTACTTCAACCCAATACAAACTCAAGTTTTCGATGCTTTGTACAATAAAAATGATGACAATGTTTTCATTGGTGCTCCAACTGGTTCAGGTAAAACTATTTGTGCCGAGTTTGCGATGCTCAGATTATTTTCTAACAACTCAGAGGGACGAGTTGTCTATGTCACACCGAAACATGAACTTGCCGAAATAGTTTTTGCTAATTGGAAACAGAGATTTGGCAAATTACTTAATAAAAATGTGGTTATTCTCACCGGTGAAACGGCCGCTGATCTCAAGTTGTTGGCCAAAGGAAACATCATAATCAGTACACCCGAAAATTGGGATATTCTTTCTCGTCGATGGAAACAGCGTAAAAATGTACAAAATATCAATCTTTTCATCGTTGATGAACTTCATTTAGTAGGAGGAGATGACGGACCAATTTTGGAAGTTGTTTGTTCTCGAACTCGATATATTTCATCGCAGATAGAAAAACCGATTCGTATTGTAGCACTTTCATCATCTCTAACCAACGCTCGTGATGTTGCTGAATGGCTCGGATGTAAATCTGCTACTTTTAATTTTCATCCAAACATCCGACCAACTCCACTCGAACTGCATATTCGTGGTTTCAATCAAACACATAATGCCACTCGTCTCATGTCCATGTCCAAGCCCGTTTACCAATCAATCATCAATTCCTCTCCAAACGAGCCTGTGATTGTTTTTGTTTCTTCAAGGAAACAAACAAGAGTCACAGCGATTGATATTCTAATGTACACTGCTGGTGATGATAATCGCAATCGATTCTTACATTGCTCTGGAGAGGATATGAAACGTTACGTCGATAAACTTAGCGATCCCACTTTGAAAGAAATCATTGTCAATGGTGTTGCTTTTCTTCACGAAGGAACCAATCAAATTGATCGTCGTATTGTTGAGGAGCTATTTAATGTTGGTGCCATTCAGATTGTCGTGGTTTCAGCATCACTTGCATTCAGTTTAACAATCAAATCTCATTTAGTGATCATCATGGATACACAAATTTACAATGGAAAAGTTCATGCCTATGAAGATTATCCAATTTCAACAGTTCTTCAAATGATCGGACGGGCCAATCGTCCAATTAAAAACGAACATGGTGTTTGTGTTTTGTTTTGTCAGGCAGCGAAAAAAGATTATTTCAAGAAGTTCCTTTATGAGCCTTTACCTGTTGAAAGTCACCTTGATCATTTTCTTCATGATCATTTCAATGCTGAAATTGTTACCAAAACAATTGAGAACAAACAAGATGCAGTCGATTATTTAACTTGGACCTTTTTGTATAGACGAATGACTCAAAATCCTAATTATTATGGATTAACAGGTGTCACTCATCGGCATCTTTCTGATAGTTTATCTGAACTGGTAGAAAACACGCTTAATGATTTGGAGCAATCGAAATGTATCAGCATCGAAGAAGATATCGATGTGTCACCTCTTAATCTGGGAATGATTTCTGCCTATTATTACATCAATTACTCTACAATTGAACTGTTCAGTTTATCTCTTAGTAACAAGACCAAAATCAAAGGACTTATTGAGATAATTAGTTCAGCAACTGAATATGAAAGTATTCCTATTCGACATAAAGAAGACATTATCTTGCGACAACTTTCATCTAAAGTTCCAAACAAAATTCAAAACGCCAAATACACGGATCCTCATTTCAAGACCAATCTACTGTTCCAAGCTCACTTATCTCGAATGACCTTACCTGCTGAACTTCAATCTGACACCGAGCATATTTTAACTAAATCAATTCGTCTCATTCAAGCTTGTGTTGATGTCCTCTCGTCAAATGGTTGGCTAAGTCCCGCTTTAGCTGCCATGGAATTGGCTCAAATGGTTACTCAGGCTGTTTGGAATCGCGACTCTTATCTCAAACAATTACCTCATTTTACCTCTGAAATTATCAAAAGATGCACCGAGAAAGGAGTTGAATCCATTTTCGATATCATGTTAATTGAAAATGATGATGATAGGAATAAACTTCTTCTTCTCGACGATGCTAAGATGGCCGATGTAGCTCGTTTCTGTAACCGTTATCCGAACATCGAATTGAATTATGAAGTTTTAGGTAAAAATTCAATATCTTCTGGAGATTCTGTTAATGTTGTAATTCAATTGGAGAGAGAAGATGAAGTAACTGGACCAATAATTTCACCTTTTTTCCCTCAGGTGAGTTTTTGATTTGTTTTTCACAGAAAAAAATGGGAACTGATTGTTGTTTATTCTTTAAAACTTTTTTTCTTCATCCCAAGTTTATCTTTTATTGTTTTAAGATATTCATTAGTAATTTTTTGTCTTATTTTGTTCTGTTCATTAATTAATAGAAACGAGAGGAAGGTTGGTGGCTTGTCATTGGTGAACCAAAGTCAAATTCACTCATTTCCATCAAAAGAATAACCTTGGCGCAAAAACAAACAGTTAAACTGGATTTTATTGCTCCTTCGCCTGGTGATTACTCTTATACTTTATATTTCATGTCGGATGGATATTTGGGATGTGACCAGGAATATAAATTCAACATCAAAGTTGATCAAGGAGATCGAGGAGATCGAGGAATCAAACGACGTGCCAGTGATAGTGATTAATTTATGAAGAGAGGGAAACAAAAGTCAATTTAGCTCGGACTCAACTTGAATGTATAATTATTTTTTGTCATCATTTCCATCACCATTGAATATTGTTATTCCTCCATTTATATCTCGTCAAATCCATCATTTTGTCATAATAAAAGAAAATGTTTTACAACATAAAATCCTGACGTTTAGTTTTTCTTGGAAGATTTGACCTTATGTACTTACGCGTTTTCTAGTAATTTCAGTTATCAATAAGGAGTCCTTATTAAGGACTGGACATACGGAATGTAGAATAAATGTAACCAAAAGTGATATTAAACTTTGGGTTATAAAAGTTTCGAGTTTTATTCATCAATGAGAACTGGAAGACAGTTGAGAGATTTGTAAAAACAATGTTTCATGAAATCGAATCCATAGCAAATTGGTTCGCAAGTATCCACCAATTTAGGCCATTCGGTGGGTTCGTTTTTACAATCGTAATATATTTCAAATGATCGGTTCTTTTTGACACAATATTTGACCGGGAAATCAGCTGATTTATTGATCATTTTCTTACATCCTCTCAAGTCCAATATCTTCAAATTTGGTAATAATTTTATCAATTCTTCTAGATTATTATCATCGAGCTTATCAATATGTCTGATCGCTAGATGATGTAAATTAGGAAATTTGGAAAGTAGTCTTCGTAGTATTGACCACGAAAAAAATCCAGTCTGAATCGAAAGAATAGAAGAAAAAAATCAACAAAATCTCATAAACATTTATCACTCGATGATTGACTTACATTAACGATAACCAAATCTCTCAGATTGTAATTCTTTATCGATTCATCTACATAAAGAGCATATGCCCAACAATGGATGAAAGCACTTTCCAAAGATGGACAAAAATCCATGAAATGGAAACCGGTGAATTGTTCAACCAAATCGGTCGTATCAAGTTCAAGAATCTTTAACGAAGAAAGATTCGGTCCATTGTAAAAAACTTCGTCCGCTATAATAGATCGTACAAAGTTTTAATGATTTAATTCAATAGGAAGATTAATTCGAGTTGTATCTCACCTTCATCGAGTTCTAAGTTGAGTCGAATCAAATTTGGAAAATATTCAATGAATGCAGGAAGATCATACGTAAAAAAATAGAAGCATCGAACTTGTTTCAACTGATCATGTCGAAAAACTTTTTTAAAATCGAAACTAAACTCTGCAGCGCACATTTCGATATTTTTCAAGTCAAAACTCTTTCCGATAGAATTAGAAAGTCCAATCAATCCTTTTATGTTTGGATTATCGTTGAGAATTCTCGCTAAAATATCAGATCCAATTATAACACCAGAATAAGACGAAACCTCTATAATCTATTAGAAAATAAAATATCAATTAGAAAGCAACATAATTTTGATAAAAAATTCATGAGTTACCTTAAGATTCGGAAACAATTTGATTAAATTGTAATCATTCCAATTTGTAGCATGATTCAACCACAAACTGTTCGCATCGATATAATCAACCGCATCACTAACTAAAAAAATTGAAAACGAATTAATTGGAAGCATAAATCGAGCCATTAGAACTTAACTTACTAGTCATCAAACGAAGATACTTAACTCGATTAAATTTCAGCGTAATTAAATCGGACCATCTTGAACAAACTTAAGAATCAAGGGAAATTAAATGAGCTTTCAAATTTTATCACCTTAACGGAATCTTACCTTTAGACAATTGAACCAAATCTTTGACCCCATGGACATTTTCGAAGATCTTCCAAAGACAATTATCGGGCAAATCGTTAAATGACATGATTATGATTCCACTAATTAATCGCTTAAAAACTTGAATGAATGCTGAAGCACTAATTTGAAATTTCGGTTGAAGAGTCAAAAAACAGCTGATAAATGAACATATAAGAACGAGCGCTTTCTATGAATGAGATAAAAAGAGTATTTTGTACGCGTTTGAACTGCAACCTAGTATAATTCTTGGAAATTCTATGGAACAACTGAGAGATAACCGAGAGAATCAAAGAACCCGATAAATCAAAATATGGAAATGTTCTCGAAGTTTCATTTAATTTCGCAACTTGGTTTTTTATTAGCGATGTGATACTCCCATGGAGCATGAATCTTTAAGATTGTAACATCAATTCCCTCTATGATCTGAACAGGGTTCAAAAGGTTGAGCTTTTAATTAAACTATCCAAAATTTCACTATATTTGTCAAATTCTGCACGAGAAAATTTAGTAACTTTGTTACCTATTATATCAATTCGATACTCTCCAAGATGTGGTAACGATTCCAATAAATATCAAAATTCTTTTGGACTATTCACGATCTTACCTCATTATTATTGGCTCAATTGAAACTTAGCAGAATTTTAGAGATTTTCTCATGAAAATTATCAGTTGATTATGTTCAAATCAACTTTATTCATCAATCAAATGCGGAAGTGAGTCCCAAGTTTTAAAAAAACAATGTTTCATGAAATCAAATCCGTAAACAATCAATTCTTGAGGAGTGTTCAACTTGGGCCATTCGATTGGTTCCTCTTCACAATCGTAATAGATTTTAATTGATCGTTTGGATTTAGCACAATATTTAGCCAAGAAATCAGCTGATCTTTGAGTGATATTCTCACATTTTCTGAAGTCCAACAGTTTTATTTTTGGTAATAATTTCACCAATTCTTCCACATGATTGTCTTCAATCAAGTACCAGCCTCTAATCGCAAAATGATGTAAATTCGGGAATTTCGCCAAAATTTTTCGTAATGAGGACCATGTAAGATGGTGAGACTTTAAATGGAGAAATGAAAGAAAATATTAATGATAATCTAATAGGAATTTATTAATCAATGACTCACATGGACGATAACCAAGTCTCTTAGATTGAAATTCTTTATGGACTCATTTACGGTATCCTTCGTATAACCACCATTATCAGAATAATAGAGGAAAGCACTTTGTAAATTCGGACAAGAATCCATAAAGTACAATCCGATCAATCTATTCACCCAAGAACTCGGAGTAAATTCGAGGATCTTTAAATCGAGCAATTTTGGCCCATTGTAAGGTTTTGCTGAATCTTTACCAAACAAAAAGAAATTAAAACTTTGTGCATTAAGTCGTAGTAAACATACCATAATAGAGGGTTAAGCTAAGTCGTTTCAAACTCGGAAAGTATTCGACATATTGATAAAATTCAGACATGTAAATTTGCTTTAAGCGAATTTGTTTCAACTGATTAGGCCGAAAGACTTTTTTAAATTCGAATTTGAAATCTGATGAAATCATTTCGATATTTTCCAAGTTATATCTGTTCTCGACAGGTTCATAAAGTCCAATTAATCCTTTGATTTTAGGATGTTCGTTAATCAACCTTCTAAAATCATATGATTCAAGACGGAGAAAAACATCCTTTGGAACTTCCATAATCTATACAAAAAACATTCGAAAGATATTTCATTAAAAACGAACTTATTATCGATAGGAAAAATGCAAATACCCTTAGATTGGGAAACAAATCTCTTAAATTGTGACTTTTCAAAGTTTCTCTAGTATTTTTCCAAAGTTTGTCATTCTCAATGTAGTCACCGTCTCTTTGGCGTTCTAAAATTAGAAACAATCAATTTAAGAATTAGTCAAAATAAAGGCTTAATCAGGTGGAGGTTTACTTACTATCCATTAATTGAAGATATTTGACTTTGCTGAATTTCAGCAAAACGACCAAGAACCATCTTGGAGAGACTAAGAGATCAATAGAAAATAAATTTGGAACATTTCAACTTAAAACTGCATTTTGATCTTACCTTTGGACAATCGGATCAACTCATCGAATCCATTAAAATGGTCAAATATCATAAAAAGACACTCGTTTGGTAGATTGTTAATCGACATAACTCACTTGTCAGTTGAAATCAATTTAAGGAAATAATTTAAAATTTCAATTCAAAATTGGATTTTGTAAGCCGTTTCCCTCCAAAAACTTTTTACTACTAAAAAGTTTTCGTTAAAACCAGCTGATAGTTTCTGGTGCTTTATGGCTACATTAGTAGGGAAAATTTACTTCCAAAGCGCTCGTTTTGAGTGTGATTTACCGAATTCCAGAATAAAGGTATTTTATTATTGAGGTTTCAATGTTGTTTGTTGAAAATCAATAGTATGTTATATTTGGTTGAGAAAATTTTGAAGATCATTTTGTTAAACAGAACCTGTTTAATAGTTTTCTCATTGTTTCTTAGTTAATGATAAATTCATTAGTTAGATAAGTGTTTTGTCTGATCCTTTGATTTAGTTTCTTAGGAACATCCGGAATAATCCATTCGAGGAAAGTATTAAAAATCAATAACTGTGAGCTTACTGACATCTCTTGAAGGTTTAAGAACTAAATGGATAAATTATTTGAGTTTAAATTCTGACGCTTGTTTTTCTTTTGGAAGATTTGATAGACTGGTCCATTTTCTAATGATTTCAGTCATCAACAAGGACTGGACGAAGAATAATAAATGTTACCGAAGTGATATTAAACTTTGGGTTATATTTCATAATAGCATATTTATTAATATTGTATAATAGAAGTTTCGATTTTTATTCATCCATGAGAATTAGAAGAGAACTGAAATATGAATAAATGAGACAATTATTAACTACATGTAATTGAATAAAACGACTCAATTATATGGGTCATTTTGCAACTTTACTCATCAAGCAAATGCGGAAGTGAGTTCCAAGTTTTATAAAAACAGTGTTTCATGAAATCGAATCCATAACAAATTCGATCGCCAGTATTAACCAATTGAGGCCATTCGTTTGGCTCCTCTTCACAATCATAATAGATTTTAATTGATCGATTGGATTTCTCACAATATTTGGACAGAATATCAGCTGATTTTTGAGTCACTTTGTCACAACTCCTCAAGTCGATCAGTTTTATTTTAGGTAATAGTTTCACCAATTCTTCCACATGACTGTCGTCAATATTTTTATTCTTTCTGATTCCAAGATGATATAAATTCGGAAATTTCAACAAAATTTTCCGTAATGATGACCATGTAAGATGACCAGCCTTTGGATAATAAGAAACACAAAAAACAGTTAATCAAGTGCTAATTTTTCACTTAACGACTTACCTGTTTGATAACTAAATCTCTTAAATTGAAATTTTTTATCGAATCGTTAACAGAAGCATCCTTACCATGAATAAAATGTAAGAATGCACTTTCTAGATTTGGACAGGAATCCATAAAGGGAAATATAGAAAACTCATCATAAGGATATGTCACAATTTCTACTTCAAGTATCTTTAAAGCAGCCAAATTCGGACCATAGTATTTTTTAATGTCTATTTCGAAGTTAGAAAAATTAGATCATACATTTCACAAATCAATTCTTTTTAACATACCATAACGAAGTGGTAAGTTGAGCCGCTTTAAATTCGGAAAGTATTCGATAACTTGTGATAGTTCAGTGTAGTCTAAACTTTTGTCGAAGCGAATTTGTTTCAATTGATCAGGTCGAAAGATTTTTTTGAATTCGAATTTGAAATCTGATGAAATCATTTCGATATTTTCCAAGTTATATCCGTACTCAACAGGATCATAAAGTCCAATTAATCCTTTGATTTTAGGATGTTCGTTAATTAACCTTCTAAAATCATATGACTCAAGGGAAACAAAAAAATGCAACGGAACTTCCACAATCTATATAAAGAAAAATACGATGGATAGAATTAGAAACTAAATATTTTTCTGATGGAAAAATGCAATTTATCAATTACCTTTAGATTGGGAAACAAATCCGTTAAATTGTGACTCTTCAAAGTTTCTGTAGTATTTTTCCAAAGTTTGCCATTGTCAATGTAGTCCAGGTCACTGCTGTATCCTATGATTAAAGCAATCAAATGAAGAGTCAGTCAAAATCAAGAATCAATCAGTTGAAGGTTTACTTACTTCCAATCAATTGAAGATATTTAACTTTGCTAAACTTGAGCAAAACGACCAACAACCATCTCGGGGAGACTAAGAAATCAATAGAAATCAAATTTTAAAAATTAAAAGTTTAACAAATTTCAAATTTCGATAATTTGAACTTACCTTTGGACAATCGGATCAACTCTTCGAATCCATTGAAATGGTCCAAAATCATATAGAGACACTCGTTTGGTAGTTTGTTAATTGACATAATTCACTTGAGATCAATTTAAAAAGGTAAACAAAAATTTAAAGTTTAAATCGGTTCCCTCTAAAAACCAGCTGATAGTTTCTTGTGCTTTATGCCTCCGTTGACAGGAAAGGATAACTTTAATGGCGCTTATTTTGAGATTAATTTTGTTAGTGGAATATTCAAAATTTAGAATACAAAGCTTTGAATTTGACGTTGCTCGATAACGGAAAAGAATAAATTTAATTGAACAACAAAATTTCGATTTGCTTTCATTTGAAAACAAAACATTGCTGGTCATCTCTTAATCACCAATTCGTGATCTATGGTTTTTTAACATGCTCGTCGTCTATTTCATGATGCTGATGATTGATTCGATAAACTTGGTCCACTATAAATCGTAAAAAGATGTTAATCATATGATACAATTGGAAAATACGGTACAATAAAAACATTATAACACGTAACACCATTTACTTTACGTAAGACTAATTCAAGTTGAATCTCACCTTCATTGAGTTCTATGTTAAGTCGCTTCAAATTCGGAAAATATTCAATAAATATGGTAAAATAATTCTTATTAAAATTGCAGCAGTAAACTTGTTTTAACTGTCAACTTCAATTATTATTATAAGCAACTTTGCCTTCATATTGAAAAATTGGAAATCAAAAGTTAAAATTGTAGATGGATCAAGTGGAAATCAACTTACTAGTCATCAAATGAAGTTATTTTACTCAATTAAATTATAAATTAATTGTTTTCTAATTTTAATCAATTCTCTCTCTCTCTCTTTTTCATTAATTATAGCGAGTGTGAAACATAAACGCACTTATTTGCCGAACTTATGTAAATTGCTAAAACTTCAACGATTGTCAATAACTATAGCATTTTAAGATCTATAAATTCAATTTCACAATGTTATTCATTATATTATTATGATATATTATCTAGTTGAGAAACAAGTCACGTCAAGGTAAGTCACGAAAAAGGTCAATCGGATACTTCGTCCCTTGGAATCATTAAAACGATGGTGTCTATCAATCTTCCAATCTTCTTTATGGGGGTAAATCATCTATGGACCATAAAGATACTCATCGAATGTGATTCTACTACCAATGCCTCCAATTGATCCAAGTTTATCATCACTCGAAGAATACATACTAAATTTTATTCAATTCGAAAAGTTTTCCTCAACTATTCAAAAGAAGCGCTTTGACGCTGAACCTTTCAGCTGGAAACGGCTGCGAATAAGACAAAAGCTAAGAATTTGTTGAAAAAAATTGACGATATCAAATTGTTTCTGTTTCTAAATCGTTCCAAAACTGTTAATTTAAATTTGATTCCATCGGTTCAGTAAATTTCGATTATGTTCATAAACGATTTACCTAATGATTGTCTCTGGATGATCTTCGACAGCTTCTTTAATGTAGAAGAGTTAATCAAATTGTCTAAAGGTAAAATTTAAACATTCTGCTGTATCAATAACATAATTTGTAATTCTATTTGATTTTAAAGTTTGTTCAAAATGGTTTGATTTAATTTCCGTAAGATTTTCCCGAGTTAAATATCTACTTAACGGTGAGTAAATTTCCATCTACGTGTAATTGTTATTTTGGTTTGATCAATTTTTCCAATTCCATGGACCTGAAGAAAACACTATCGATCATATTGATTATACCAAGTTATGGATAAGAGATCCAGAGACGATCGGTAACCATAATTTACGAGAATTGTTACCAAACCTCAGGGTAAATAAAAAATTTCAGTTGTCTATTCGATATTTGTTCGTTTTTTTTTGTATCGATTAGATTCTCGACATCTCTGCTGATTTTTATGGACGTGGAGAAAAACTTGAAGATTTCAGTAAATTGATTAACAATAATACGAAAATAAAAGGATTGATTGGACTGGATTTTGTTAATTATCATAATCTCAACTTGGAAAATATCGAGATGTTTGCAATGGATATGTTCAATTATACAAAAGTCTTTCGACCTAGTCAATTGAAACAAATTCATTTTTCTGAATTCTATATGCAATATCTTTTTTGAAATAATTGAATACTTTCCAAATTTAAAGCGACTCAACATCTCAATGTTTGATGGTAAGTTATTGCGATTCGATTCATGTTCACGATTAATGAAAAAATAATTATTAAAGGTGAGGAAATTCGTTACAATGGTCCGGAAATGTCCAATCTCAAGATCCTTGAATCTTATACATTCGAAGGGCATGATAATTGTAGTGCTTTTCATTTGATGGACTTTTGTCCATCTTTGGAAAGCGCTTTCATGAAAAATTTTCCAGAGGATGATTTTATTGATCTGTCCTTGAAGAACTACAATCTCAGAGATTTGGTTATCGAAATGGTGAGTAGAAAATTAAAGATTCGCCTTAAATAATTAGTAATTTTCTGTTCTTCTCAAGCCAACTCAAGAAGATATGAATTGGTCATTCTTGCGAGATCTACTGTCCAAATATCCAAATCTACATAACCTTGCGATCAGAATGAGCGATGAGATTGAGGATTGTCATGTTGAAGAATTGGTGGAGATTTTGCCAGAAGTAAAATTGTTGGACTTCAGAAAATGTGAGAATATCACTCAAAGATCAGCTGATTTCTTGGCTAAATATTGTGCTAAATCCAAACGATCAATTAAAATCTATTACGATTGTGAAAAGGAACCAATTGACTGGCCTAAATACGACACTCCTCGAGAATCAATTGTCCACGGACTCGATTTCATGAAACATTGTTTTTATAAGAGTTTTTCCAATCTTCCATTTCTAATTGATGAATAAAATCGCCTAAATTTTATTGTATCAAAAAATATTCTTCCATGAATATTGAATATTGTCTCGAACATTTCAATCGAATAAATTATCATTAAAACTATAGTCTGATAATGAGAGAATTTCAGTTTATCAACCTGTCATTTTTCCATAATTTTACCGAAGAAAATTAACTAAGCATTTGAAGGAAGCTTTCACGTGTTCAATCAGACTTGGTGAATTATTGGAGTTCATTATCTTTTATTGCCAGTGTAAACCCTGAAACGAGGGAATCATAATGAAATTTTAAGTCATTCAAATTCCCATTTTAGCTCCTTTCTCTTCATCGTATTTTCATAAAAATCTGATCGAAGCCTGAAATGAGAAAAAGACTTACGGAAAATAGACGAACCCTCTATCACAAAGATAAAAGATCATTAGAAATGAACTTGATCTAAGGCACAGTTACCTTGATATTTTGAAACAATTCTCTTAAATTGTAATGTTGCAAACTTGTTCCATAGGTTATTATCGATCCAATCAATTGTACCTTAGAATTGTGAAAAGAGAAACGAATTAGTTAAAAGTGAAATCAATTAGATGAAAATTAATTTACTACAGTATCTCTCGATTGCAAATATTCAACTTTGCTGAACTTGAACAAAATTAAATCGGACCATCTTGAACAAACTTTGGAATAAAATTAAATAAATAAGCATTCAAACTTAATCGTAACTGAATATTACCTTAAGAAGATTGAATCAATTCTTTGAGTTCATGGTTTCAAAGACAATTATCAGGTAAATCGTTTAATGACATAATTGATTTGTAAACTTAAAGAAATGATGATAACTTATCATTGAAATTCAATGACATTAATGATTAATGAACAAAATTCGTTTCCCTCGGAAAGAACAGCTGATTGACTATCGAGTCCAGATGCTCGAAGCATTCATAACATGAGTTTTCGCAATGATAAATTTGCATACAAAAATTGGGAATAAAAATGAACTTTCGTCTTTCGCCTCGAAACATCATAGATGATCAATCTAAAATTCTATTCATCAGTTAAGATAGAAAGATAATCAATCTTTAAACATTATCGAAACTTAGGAAAACATTATCAAGTAAATTGTTTATTATCGATGAAGTAAATTGATTTATTTAAACAAAATAAATAAAGAATTTTAACCATCAATATACATTTAATTCAAATGATTATTTTATTGATTCGTCTTAGAAACTTTTAGTTTCACTTTTTTTTCAATTTTAGTAAACTCATAATCAGAATTATACAAAAGTTTGATTAATCTTCATCGAGCAAGTCCGGAAGAATGGACCAAGATTTTAAGAAACAATTTTTCATAGAATCGAACCCGGAGCAGATCTTCTCATAACGAAATGTCGATTTAGTCAATCTATTTGCTAATCTATCACAACCATAATAGATTTTAATTGATCGATTGGATTTCTCGCAATATTTGGACAGAATATCAGCTGATTTTTGCGTCACTTCGTCACATCTCCTCAAGTCGATCAGTTTTATTTTTGGTAATAGTTTCACCAATTCTCCCACATGACTGTCGTCAATATTTTTATTGTTTCTGATTCCAAGATGATGTAAATTGGAAAATTTAGATAAAATTTTTCGTAATGATGACCATTTAAGATGATGAGCCTTTGGATAGTAAGAAACACAAAAAAACAGTTAATCAAGTGCTAATTTTTCATTTATCGACTTACCTGTTCGATAACTAAATCTCTTAAATTGAAATTCTTTATCGAATCGTTAACAGAAGCATCCTCACCATAAATATAATGTAAGAATACACTTTCTAGATTTGGACAGGAATCCATAAAGCGAAATACCGAAAACTCATCATAAGAATGTGTTACAACTGCAACTTCAAATATCTTTAAAGCAGCCAAATTTGGACCATCGTATTTTTTTGTGTCTATTTCGAAGTTAGAAAAATTTTATTACCGATTTCATAAATCAATTCTTTTTAACATACCATAACGAAGAGCTAAGTTGAGCCGCTTTAAATTCGGAAAGTATTCGATAACTTGTGATAGTTCAGTGTAGTCTAAAAGTTTGTCGAAGTGAATCTGTTTCAATTGATCAGGTCGAAAGACTTTTTTGAATTCGCACTTGCAATCAAACGAAACCATTTCGATATTTTTCAAGTTATATCTGTTCTCAACAGGTTGATAAAGTCTAATCAATCCTTTGATTTTCGGATTTTCGTGAATCAACCTTCTAAAATCATATGATTCAAGACAAAGAAAAACACTCTCCGGAACTTCCATAATCTATACAAATAAAAATTCGATCGATAGAATTAGAAATCTAATATTTTTCTGTTGGAAAAACGCTAGTCATCAATTACCTTTAGATTCGGAAACAAATCTTTCAAATTGTGACTTTTCAAAGTTTCTCTAGTATTTTTCCAAAGTTTGTCATTCTCAATGTAGTCACTGTCTCTTTGGCGGTCTAAAATTAGAAGCAACCAAATCAAGAATTATTCGAAATCAAGAATTAATCAGTTGGAGGTTTACTTACTTCCAATCAATTGAAGATATTTAACTTTACTGAACTTCATCAAAACGACCGAGAACCATCTCGGAGAGACTAAGAAATCAATATAAATTATTTTTTAGAAATTAAAAGTTTAACAAATTTCAAATCTCGATAATTTGAACTTACCTTTGGACAATCGGATCAACTCTTCGAATCCATTGAAATGGTCCAAAATCATATAGAGACACTCGTTTGGTAGTTTATTAATCGACATAATTCACTTGAAAACGTCAAGTTGAAGAGATGAACAAAAGTCTAATCAGTTCCTGCAAAGAACCAGCTGATAGTTTCTTGTGCTTTATGCCTCCGTTGACGGGAAAGGGTAACTTTAATAGCGCTCGTTTTGATCAACAATAAGGACGAAAGAGTTATGTAGCCATAACTAATGTTAAACTTTGTGTATTATTAATGTTTGTTTCCATTTTTATTCATCGATGAGAACTGGAAGACAGTTGATAGATTCGTAAAAACAATTTTTCATAAAGTCGGATCCATAACAAATCACAATATTTACCAATTCAGGCCAATCGACAGGTTCGTTTTCACAATTGTAATACATTAGAATTGGTCGATTCGCTTTAACACAATATTTGAACAGAGAATTAGCAGATTTTTGAGTTACGTTTTTACCGAAATGCCAGTTGATTCTCTAGAAATTTGGAAAACAATCAATAAATATGGGAAAATATTAATAATACTTATCATTGAAAATCAATAACATTAGTGATTAATTATCAAAAGCACCTGATTAATTAATTTAGCACTTTTTTAAGAACAAAAGGAGCGTTTTAAACGCGTTTTGCTGCACTCACGTAATATTCTTGAAAATCCCATGGAACAATTGAGAGATGAACAAGAGAAAAAAAGAACATGAAGCATTGATCTTGAGTTTAGCCCTTCATGAAGCAAATTATTTCCGATGATTTTGTGGCATTTTTTCAGATTTTTCACAAAAAAATTGATTAGTTTTGCTAACTAATAATATAAAATCAATTCGACACTCTCCAAGATGTAACGATTACAATAATTCTTTCGGATTATTTACAATCTTACCTCATAATTATTGGCTCAATTGAAACTTAACAGAATTTTAGAGATTTTCTCATGAAATTATCAGTTGATTATGTTCAAATCTATAAATTATAAATAAAGGAGACAATTATTATTAACTACATGTAATTGAATAAAACGGCTCAAGTACATGAGTCATTTTGCAACTTTATTCATCAAGCAAATGCGGAAGTGAGTCCCAAGTTTTGTAAAAACAATGTTTCATGAAATCGAATCCATAACAAATTCGATCGCCAGTATTAACCAATTGAGGCCATTCGTTTGGCTCCTCTTCACAATCATAATATATTTTAATTGGTCGATTGGATTTCTCACAATATTTGGACAGAATATCAGCTGATTCGCGAATAAATCCGTCATATTCCCTCGAGTCGATCAGTTTTATTCTTGGTAATAGTCTGAAAAATTCTTCTACATGACTTTCCTCAACTATGTAGCCTCTAATCGCAAGATGATGTAAATTCGGGAATTTCGACAGGATTCTTCTTAATGCTGTCCATGTAAGATAGTAAGCCTTTGGATGGATAAGAAACACAACAAAAGTTATTCGAATGTTGAGTTGTTTTTCACTCAGTGACTTACATGTTCTTACCATGTAAGTCTGGATAGATAAAAGAACAATTTAAGAATAATCTAATAAGAATTTGAAACTCAATGACTTACATTCTCGATAACCAAGTCTCTTAGATTGAAATTTTTTATGGACTCATCTACGATATCCTTAGCGAAATCACTTTCATCAGAATACGAGAGGAAAGCGCTTTGCAAATTCGGACAAGAATCCATGAAGTACAATCCAATCAATTTGTTCACCCAAGAACTAGGAGTGAATTCGAGGATCTTTAAATCGAGCAATTTTGGACCATTGTAAGGTTTTGCTGAATCTTTAACAAACAAAAAGAAATTATAACTCTTTGTGTATTATGTCGTAGTAAACATACCATAATAAAGGGTTAAGCTAAGTCGTTTCAAACTCGGAAAGTATTCGACATATTGATAAAATTCAGACATGTAAATTTGCTTTAGGCGAATTTGTTTCAACTGATTAGGCCGAAAGACTTTTTTAAATTCGAATTTGAAATCTGACGAAACCATTTCGATATTTTCCAAGTTATATCTGTTCTCAACAGGTTCATAAAGTCCAATTAATCCTCTGATTTTTGGATGTTCGTTAATCAACCTTCTAAAGTCATACGATTCCGGAGAACGGAGACGGAGAAAAACATCCTTCGGAACTTCCATAATCTATACAAAAAACATTCGAAAGATATTTCATTAAAAACGAACTTATTATCAGTAGGAAAAATGCAAATACCCTTAGATTGGGCAACAAATCTCTTAAATTGTGACTTTTCAAAGTTTCTCTAGTATTTTTCCAAAGTTTGTCATTCTCAATGTAGTCACCGTCTCTTTGGCGTTCTAAAGTTAGAAACAATCAATTCAAGAATTAGTCAAAATCAAGAGTTAATCTTGT